GCGTTTGTTTGACAATCCTTGGTAAACAATTATCGCTTTAAAAATATCACACTTATCGCAAACGTCATTTTTTTGTTTATTCAATAATACTTTGCTCAATTCTCTCTCTTTTAATTCGTCGTTAAATATTCAACACGACAGGTGGAAGAGTCATATTTAGCGACTTCTTTCGCGAGGACGATGATATCTTTCTTAGCGGGCATCTCACAGTTATAATTATAGATACATACAGCAAGAACGAGAACTTAACGATCGTCGAAAATTATAATACGAGACGCGGATTCTTTAGTGATTAAGAAAACATATATCACGTTTCTGCTGGAGAGAAAGATTTTTTATACGATTGTTTTTTTTTATTTTTTAGATTTTTTTCAACCGAGAAATATTCTTCTCTCTCCGTTGCTGACTCTCTTCGTCCATCCATCCATCGCGCTGCTCGAGGTATCGCTGACTGGTTAATGAGACTTTTGTGTAATTAACAAGAATGGAGAATAGAGAGGAGAAATTACGCGCGCAAATACAAGCTGCGTATGGGTTAGTAAAATAATGCATAGAAAATATGCGAAGCATTTTGTATACGCGTCTATCTATAGAAAAAAATTGGAGTAAAATCAAGATTTTATCGAAATATCTCTCGAGGGAGATCGCCTAAACTCTCCAAGTCGCATCCGTTTGTATTCGTCGGACAAGCCAAAGTTTATCGGACACGATCGGCGGCGGGAAATGACAATTTCCCATCGTGCGCTTTTAATATATGTATATATATGTATACGCACTTGTATATGTATATATACATATATCGAAGCACATTTATAGGCCGAAACGCACGCGTACGACGATTATTGCATGCAAATCTAATTAAGGTACAACATTAATTCAGCGCCTAATGGCAGTAATGAGATTTCATGCACAAAGCGCATGGAACTAATTAAAATGGAATATTGGCTGAACGTGCGACCGTACGCGCAATGAAAATACGTCCTATATTAGTCCGCGATAATTTCCCGCGCGCCACTTCCCTTAAAACATATTCGACGAGATAAAGAAGAGATCGACGATTTCGCAAGATGTACGTTCGAGCCACCCGGTATGTACCCGGCGAGACGTGACCGGACGAGAAACGCGAAGGTTAGGAGCTCTCTCGACCAGTGTTTGGACTGACAGTGAAGCGAGCGCGAAATATGTCAGACGCGAGACGTGAGAAACCGAAAGGTTGCCGGATTCGCATTCTCAAGTAAAAGCGCCAGCCCTTCCTCCACCGTTTTATCTCACCGAAGGGAAAGACTCTCTCTCAGTCAACGATATTCGCGGCCGACCTGTTGTTTATTTATTTATCATCACCCGTAGGGAAGAATAAAAATGTTTCGTATTAGGATCCATGGAATAATACATTATATTATTTGCATACAAGAGGTTGTCATATATACATTTAGGGATTATTGCGACATTCGGCTCATTGTAGAGTGTATATGTTGTACATATAGGCTCGAGCGAATACGGTAAATAATTGTGTCAATGTATGTCAGGGTGTATAATTAAGATCTATGCTGGTATCTGGCAATGCTACGTCGTTATTTTGAAACAGTCGGATTAGATTACTGAGGGTACAATCAATTATATACATATATATGCGATATATGGGATGTGATAGACATTATAAATATAAATATCTCGATTTAAATATTTGTTGAAGCAAGAATAATTTTGAGGTCATTTATGACCTAGATCTAGATAGATGAACAAATTATATTCATTTCTGCGACATGTTCCAGCGATTATTATTAATAAATTATCAATAGATGATGGAACATACATTATCCCTTTCATTTCAATTTGCATAAACAAGTTACTTTTTTTCATTTTAATTTCAATAGAAATCATTACTCGTGACATAAATATAGCATTATTATATAATAATGCAATTTGCAAAATCTTATCTGACATTTAAAAACATTTTTTTACATTTATTTGTAGTTTAGAAATGATTAAAAATATATCTCCTATTGGCACAATTAAAATTATCTTTTATAGTATGAGTGGATTATATATATTTATTTATTACTATCAAATTAAATTTATTGCAGAAAAATATCTATTATTTAAGAATACTTTCAATACCATCTTTAGTAAATCTGAATTTTGTAATATCTATTTTGTAGAACTATTTTCCAGTACGAATTTAGATTTTATTAAAATTTTTATCTATTTCTCTTTCATATCCTTTTTTATTAATAGATAAACCTTTGCATGTATTTATATTGCAGAGATGATATAAATAAGAAAATTGTTGGAAACAATTTTTAAAATATATCCTTTTTTACAAAATTATGCAACGATATAAAATGCGATAATATAAACTTTTGAGTATTGAAGGAAAGCTCCAACCTCTTTGATTTTGCCAAAACTTTACAATATTTGTGTATTTTCCAAATTAAAATTATCGTTCTCAAGTAAGAAAAAGTTACAGTGGATTCCGTTCTCTCCCTCTGTAAAGGAGGATTTTAATTAATAGATTCATGTTTTAAGCACAAAAATACACACACAGTATTGTAAAGTTTCGGATAAACCAGAAAAAATTTTCACAAAATTATTACTTAAAATTTAAGTAAGAAATTGATGAGAGAGACTCACCGATACGATGCGCAGCAGCAGAGTTGTAAACTGTAAAATATCAATACATGGAAATTATACAGTGCAATTTAAAATAATGTGTACTTCAAAAAATAAAATTAATTAAACTGAATTAAATTAAATTCAAATTAATTTAATTAATTGAACTTATATAAAAAATAATAAATACTAATTAAATTACCATATAGTTGTTCCACCGTTGTCGGTGCACTCGCCGGTGCCATTCCGGGTTTCCTCGTCCTTCCAGGAGAAGCTTGAGACACTCGCACTCGCGTTACTTTTTTTTATTCGCGACGAGCGGCGACGTCCGGATTTTAACTATTACAATCTTCGACGCGTTTCGGTAAAACGCGAGAAACGCGAGAGCTTATTCGCGCACGAATCAAAAAACCGATGCTCCGTTTTCGCGTCGCCGCTTTTTTTCCAGGCCCATTTATCGGAGGGCCTTATCGAACGACGTTGACGACTTCTTCTCCGATGCACTCAGAAGTCGCCGATATTCCACAATGGCTTCCACTCTTCACTATCTGTTATTTCCGAGTTCCGAGCCGAGCCGAGCAAAACTTTAAGTCGTAGTTTCGGGGGGATACCATAGAGGTCACGGCGATCGCGACGTGCACCGGGAAAACACGAACCACCGACGACCCGCACGCTTCGCGTCTCGCGCAAGACTGATCCCCATAACCAATCCTGAGACTCTACAGTTCGTCTAGCGGCCGCGCAACGTGATTGGTGGAGCGTCGCCCCTCTCGATTGGTATAAAAGGAGCACGGGCCCAGTTGCGGACGATCAAATGACGCTCTGACTTCGTTCGATGCACTTCGCACGCTGTTATTTAAATAAGATTATGTATAGCTGATCATCTAGATAAAACGTTGGCGTCGTCTTATCTTTATAACTAATAAAAATATGTATTATATATATATCTGCATCTTAGATGAAAAAAAGTATGATTTTTACTAAATTATCTAAAAAGCTATTGATTTCTAATAAATGTGTATTTTAATAGTGTCATTAACACCATTTGTTTCAACCAAATAAATATTTATCTGTTTTAAAAAAAGATTTCTTATATCAAATAAGTATTTTTTACGACAAATCAATATATATATTACTAGTTTCAAACTATTGAAATATATTTATTCGAAATCAATAGCTTTTTTTCAGTGATAGAATAATTTTTCAAATAATTTTGGTTATATATATATAAGAATCAAACCACATGAAAATACTTCAATAATAGAGCTTAAATAGTAAGCAATACAAATTTATAAATAAAAATATAAATACATATATTTTTATATCTCTTTTATAATTTACATTTTTTTAATAACTGCGTTTATTACATAAACAGTCTTAAAAATAATTATCTAGAAAATTATATAGATGAATATAATTTTATTTATCGACATATATTTAAAACAAAATCATCATTTTATCTATGATAAATTTACATATTTTTATATCTCATCTTTAGCTAATTTTTATCGTCTAGCGGCCGCGCAACGTGATTGGTGGAGCGTCGCCCCCCTCGATTGGTATAAAAGGAGCACGGGCCCAGCTGTGGACGATCAATTGACGCTCTGACTTCGTTCGATACGCTTCGTACGCAGCGTTGCTCTTACAATTAGATGATTTAAAAATTAGCTAAAGATGAGATATAAAAATATGTAAATTTATCATAGATAAGATGATGATTTTGTCAAATATATGTCGATAATAAAAATTATATGGCAATTTATCTAGATAATTTTCTAGATAATTATTTTTAAGACTGTTTATGTAATAAACGCAGTTATTAAAAAAATGTAAATTATAAAAGGGATATAAAAATATATGTATTTATATTTTTATTTATAAATTTGTATTGCTTACTGTTTAAGCTCTATTATTGAAGTATTTTCATGTGGTTTGATTCTTAACCAAAATTATTTGAAAAATTATTCTATCACTGAAAAAAAGCTATTGATTTCGAATAAATATCTTTCAATAGTTTGAAACTAGTAATATATATATATATGATGATATATTTATTTGTCGTAAAAAAATACTTATTTGATATAAGAAATCTTTTTTTTAAAGAGATAAATATTTATTTGGTTGAAACAAATGGTGGTAATGACACTAAATAAATACACATTTATTTGAAATCAATAGCTTTTTAGATAATTTAGTAAAAATCATACTTTTTTTCATCTAAGATGCAGATATATATATAATATATTTTTATTAGTTATAAAGATAAGACGACGCCAACGTTTTATCTAGATGATCAGCTATACATAATATAATCTTATTTAAATAACAGCGTGCGAAGTGCATCGAGCGAAGTCAGAGCGTCATTTGATCGTCCGCAGCTGGGCCCGTGCTCCTTTTATACCAATCGAGAGGGGCGACGCTCCACCAATCACGTTGCGCGGCCGCTAGACGAACTGTAGAGTCTCAGGATTGGTTATGGGGATCAGTCTTGCGCGAGACGCGAAGCGTGTGGGTCGTTGGTGGTTCGTGTTTTCCCGGTGCACGTCGCGATCGCCGTGACCTCTATGGTATCCCCCCGAAACTACGACTTAAAGTTTTGCTCGGCTCGGCTCGGAACTCGGAAATAACAGATAGTGAAGAGTGGAAGCCATTGTGGAATATCGGCGACTTCTGAGTGTATCGGAGAAGAAGTCGTCAACGTCGTTCGATAAGGCCTTCCGATAAATGGGCCTGGAAAAAAAGCGGCGACGCGAAAACGGAGCATCGGTTTTTTTGATTCGTGCGCGAATAAGCTCTCGCGTTTCTCGCGTTTTACCGAAACGCGTCGAAGATTGTAATAGTTAAAATCCGGACGTCGCCGCTCGTCGCGAATAAAAAAAGTAACGCGAGTGCAAGTGTCTAGAAGCTTCTTTTGGAAGGATGAGGAGGAGGCTCGGATGGCATCAGGCAACAATGGAACAATTATATGGTAATATATATTTATTGTTTATTTTATATATTGTATTATTCTTTACTTTTATTATTCTTTATTTAATCTTAATTAAATTTTCTCATATTTGCACAATAATAGAATAAGAAATTTATATAAATAATAATTTTATTTTTTAAAATATCAATTATTTTAAATTTCACATATATAATTTATATATGTATATTTTACAGTTTACACTTCGCTGCTGCGCGTCATATCGGTGAGTCTGAATTTTTACTTTTTGGTAATAATTTTATGAAGCTTTACTTTGATTTTGCCAAAACTTTACAATATTGTGTATTTCTGTACGTAAAATACGAATCTATTTAAATGACTATCCGGTTCCTTTACAGAGGAAGGTGACGGGACTCACTGTAATTTTTTTTCTACTTGAGAGCGACAATTTTAATTTACGTACAGATTCGTGTTTTGCACACCAAAATATACAATATTGTAATTTCAACAAAGTGTTTTCGATAGAGAGGACAAGGCTCTCAATATGTTACCCACTTTCGATTTCGCTAGTTATAAAAAAATGGCAAAGAGTCGCATCGTGAGATCTTGACGAGATCGATTGAAACGGCGGCGAGATAGGCATGCATATACAGGCTACAATTTTATCATCCTATATGAAATCCCTTGTCTACCCTCGACTGTTGCCGCTTTGTCGGCTTTTATAACCTGCTTCTTGATGTCTTTATGGGTTATGAATCCAATATCCAGAGAAGAGCAATTCCTCGACATACGTTTCCTTCATCTCGTCTGCTTACATATATTGACACATGTAAGCGTATTCGTAAATAATACCATATATTATCGAGATAATATAATCACAGATTGCGCACAAACCAGCTATTGATGTAGCAATTTTTTTGAAAAAATTTATGGAACCTTTGGAAGCAAAATTTTAAATTTATTCAGCAGGTTTAAACACATATACACAGTTGAAAAATTTGTATTAAATTTAACAGATATCACATGTCCCAAACGTTCCACAAAACATTTGGTGTTAATTTAACATAATATGGATATGTTGAATGCAGACACGAATACTGTGTAAATATTTTAACACAAAATAAATTGCAAAACTTCAATTAATTTAAAATAAATTTTGTGTAAAATTAATTAATATTAATGTGAAATATAATTAAAAATATATAAATTTTAGATTTTATCACCTCCACTTATAAAATTTTATATTAAAAAAATACTTTTTTATTTATTCATTTATAAAATAAAAGTCAACATTTTTTCTGCAAATTTTAACAGATAAATCTTGTCACTAATGAAAACAGAACATATTTATTGCGTAAAATTAAACATAGATGCGCATTGTGTTATTTTTACACCTTTTTCAGTTGTTTTAATAATTTAATATCAGTTAACAGATTAACACAACAGCAATATGTTAAAAGAATATATTTTAAAATTTTTAGCAGGGACCGTTTTTAACAAAAAAAAAACAAATTTTTCAACAGGGTGTATATATAAAATACAAAATAACAAGAAATTGAACAATATCGAAATAAACAGTGTCGAAATTTCCAACGAATAATTCCACGTTGTGCCAAGAAGAACAAGATTAATTCAGGCGGTGGCAAATGACAAATAAATTACTAATCACTCACCTCGCGTTTGCTTCACGGTTTCGTCGACCCTTCCTTCTCCCTTCTCTCTCGCTCTCTCATCCTTTGCTGCTCCTTGATGGCACTCACACATGAACTCGCGAAAACATAGTTAATTACGATCGTGCGCGCACTAATCAACGAGATACGACACTTTGCGCTCCCGTTAATCACATACAACGCGCGCACCTACTTTAATATGTTCTCTGATGGGAAAACAACGTAAAAATTCAATCAAACGCAAAGCTGCAAAGTTTGGACGATGTGAAAATTTCACGTCACTTGGCTAAGCTCGGATAAATATATAACAAATAATATAGACCTTCTTTGTTTTACGTTATCTCTTGCATTGTAATATAAATGTGAAATATAATAAAATATACGCGAGATGGAATTATGGATAAATATTCAAAAATACAGACATCGTTGCTTTGCCGACGAACTCGGATAGACTCCGATCGTGCACAAATGAAAGGAAAGTTTTTAACAAATGTAAAATTTCGGCGTCGATATAAAAGCATCAAATTTACAGAACGAATATTAAAATATGTAATTACGTCCCTATGTTCGTTAATTAATCCCTTCTCATACATTGATACCTTTTATATTTGATATTTGTTTTACGAACGAGCGAAAAATTCGAGAATAACATTAGTTAACCGCACCTTAGTCAACTCCCTCTTCGATATTACGTAATATCGTTTCGATTTATCATTCATCGCGGAAAGTAATTAATCGGGCGAATTTAATAATCGAATGATCGCGTTCAGCGTCTTTCCACGTTCGTCATTTAGAGAAATAATACGACGAGACACGCGATTTGTGTTTAAATCTCTTTACATCAAATGACAACAAGACCGTGGTATGTTAATGCATGTAGGTATACGAATATATCGCGAGACAATTATACAATTCCATTGCGAAATATGCAACGTATTATAAAATGAATTTACACGCCGAATATTTTGTTCTTTGTATTTATCAAATTAATTATTAATCATTGTACGTATTCACATTTCGCATGTTTTCTCTTTTTCGTTACTTTAATCGCGCCGTTACATTTTTGTTTTCCATGCGAAAATGATAGGCGAATTACGTCTGAGTGAAAAATTCGCAAAGGGCGCAATGAAAGATACGATCGAATCATTCATTGTCAAAGAGGTAATTATCTCTGAATAAGGTAACAGTAACATATCGCGATTGTCCGTAATACATATTATCGTTGCATCGCGTACGCACGAAGCGTTGATGGAATAATAATAATCTTTCCCATGTGCCGCTCTTCGCTCACCTCTCTCTCACTCATATTTTTTCATTGAGGAGGACCCTCCCCTTTTCGTGTTGACTGACATTTTGCCAAATATGTAAACAAGGTCGCGCGTCACTATTTCTTGCGCTCTCGGGGCTCGAGTATCGTCGAAGAAATATAATTTAACAGCTTGTATATAACAATTACTTGCCGCGACTGTTTTAACGAAATAATAATTAAAGGTACCGTTTCCTTTTCTATTTTCCTTTTATTGTTTCGATTTCTAGTTTAAATTTATGTGTGTTATCATCGCAGCGATATCTTAGCTCTTTCGGTATATACATATAATATATATACATATAAAATAATAATATTAATAATTAAATATTAATAATGATCATTAGTAGTAGTTAATCATTCATATAAAGAAATTGTAATATTTGCAAAAGATAACATTTTATAAAGATTGCGAACTGAGATTAACCTATTTCAGTTTTATTTACAGTGCTTTAATAATTACCGCGATATTCAATTTATTATTGTGTCGAATAACGCACTTATTACTTTACATTGTTACCTCTTTGATTTATTAAATTTTTTATTCGATGATTTTGCATTTTAAAAAACTTGATAGCGCCGGTTATCAGTGATCACCAAGATAGTCGTGTTAATCGTTAATTAATGATATTGTAGAGAATGATGATCGTAATATATAATATTTATCGCAATTATGTGTTTCCGGAGATAATATTGCTCAAATTCCTCACACGCCTTTTACAATACATATTTGTTGATGTTGATTCGTGCAATCGTTTGTTATTCACACGATGAGAGTCGAACGAGAAAATAGTGACGAGAAAATAGAGTCGCGCTTTTTACATGTGTTATTACTTTTCGAGTCATCACGATTATTTCTTACAAACAATTATTAACGCGATTGACAAATCGTATCGAAGCGACATATATTTTGCACATTTTCAAGTAAGAATCAAAGCGACAGAAATTATATCAATTAAATCAGTTTATTGCGACTTTTTCACGGATGATGATTGTTTTTCTAATAAACCTCGGGAGATCAATACTTATATATAACTGCACTTTTATAGATTGTTTCGCCGATGTATTTTGTTCGTCACTTTTCGGATTCAGAACACGGAGTAATATTATCGAATCCTGCATGCAGTTCAAGTAACGTAACACGGCATAATGTATCATTTAAATTGAATAATTATACGTATATGTTACATATAATTATATAGATATATGTTGTAAGATATATACACGCATGTATCACATGTGCGATGATTGAATTTCTATTGTTACATTCAATCTTCAAACTGTGTATCGCGTCTATTAATTATCATATCTAATCATATATATTTTAATACTCGTCAATTGTATAATAAAAATTTAATATCGATATCGATAAGTGATTAGGATATGTGAGAGAGAATTTATGTATTTTGTGTAATTTTATAACCGATTGAAATCTGTCACGCGAGTAATTGAAAAAGCGAAATAATTATTTTCGGATATTTCCTTTTTCTCGGATAATTATCTTTAATTTTGATTCGTATAATTAGTGGAATTATTTACATTTATGTTATATAATACAAAATACTAATAGTCATAAAACTTATTGGAAAACGTATTATTTTTTCAACCATAAATATTACGTCGCCGCAACCGGATGTTACGCAGTTTTCGAGCAAATCATAACTTTTGTGTCTGATTTTTTTTCCCGTAGCTTTTTTACATTGTTCTCCCGTCAACAATATATAAATTAAAGTGCGAGTTGCGCGATAATTATAACATTTGAAATGCCGCGTGCGATTGTCGTATTTCGCTGATTAGTAAACGTACGATAGTAATTAACGAGGTTTTTGCGAGCGAGTCGTGTGAGTGTCAGAGACGAAGAAGCAACGAAAGATAAACGAGAGAGAAGAAAAAGAGGAGATCCAGGCAAAGAAAAGCGACGGAGCAATCGTAGAGTAAATAATTCATAATTTATTTATCATCATTTATTACTCGCTCAATTAACTTGGGAAATTAACTGCTAGTTTATCTTCGCGATTCATTTTACATAATTGTGCGCTACCACAATGTTCTAGATTTTAAGAAATACTTTGAATATTTAATAACAATAATTACTCCATTTTCATTTAAATACATATAAAATATTTCTATATTATTGTGTGTTTAAAATTTATATTTTCATTGAAATTTTTCTTTATATATATATAAATATATATATCCTTACGTTTTGTGCGAGAAAATGTATCATGGCATTCTTTGAGATTCTTATATAGGATGGAGAAAAAATAAATTGCCATATTATATCGCGCA